TCGCGCCATCGATGTATGCTGTGTCTCAGAAACGCGCACACAGGATCCTAGTAAAATCATTAATTTGATTTTACCGTGTCAAAATAAAGAAGCAGCTCGATTTGCTCTCCGTGTATCTGGGCGCCCTGATGCTGTTTCTGAGGGTCTTGCTGGTGTAGGTATAGCATTGAGCCCTAGGGCAGAACAATCTCTCCTAGACTGGATCCCAGTAGATAGTCACTTGTGCGCCACCCGACTAAATGGGACAGTAAGAACGCGGAAAAGTAGGGAAACTCGTCGTCGCCTCTTCGTCGTATCTGATTACTCTCCCACTGACTGCAGTTCAGACGAGGTGAAAGATGAGTTTCACGGAAAGCTTTCGGACCTCCTCCAAAAAGTTAAGCACTCTGATATAGTAATAATGGCTGGTGACTTAATAAGCAAGTAGGCAGACTAAGTGAAAAGGAAAGACATCTGGTGTCGCGGCTCAGGGAAAAGATAATGGCGACTGTCTGTTAAAACTGTGCTCAGATAACCACCTATTTCTAGCAAACACTTACTTTAAGCATAAAAAAACACCTTGACATGGTGACCCCCAAAGCCGACCCAACTGTATCACATCGCTATCAGCCATCGGTGGAGAGGCTTTATTGGAGACTTTTGATCATTCTGGAGCAGTCGTTTAGACTCAGACCATGCTCTAGTGCAGGGAAACCTCTTAGGGCTCTACTAAATGAAAATAAAGCTAAGAACATATTTTAGGAGCAACTAGAAAAACAGTTAGGCGACCATGTAATTGAACTTCATCCGGAGTCAGCTTGGAATGATATAGAAGAAGCTGTGGAAATAGCAGTGATATCTGCTAGTAAGGTAAACCATAATGCTAGGAAGAAGCCGTGGATCTCAATAGCGTAATAACAATAATCAAGTAGGCAGACTAAGTGAAAAGGAAAGATGTTTGGCCGGATCTTATGATATCGCGGCACAAAGGACAGGTAATGGAGACTGTCTGTTGCAAGTGCGCTCAGATAACCACCTATTTCTAGCAAACACTAACTTTAAGCAGGCTGAGATCAGTTCAACTGGCCTTCAGCCACAATTTGATTACACACGATCTCCAAACATCCTTAATGGCAAGTCGATGTAAGTCCTCCGAGTCTATAAAGTTGAGAAAGCTATAAAAAATCTGAAGCGAGGTAAAGCATTACATGTGTCCACTAGTGACTAGCTTGGTGAGGAATCTTCTCCGAGTTCTAGTGCGAAGTCGTGACCAGTGAAGTTCAAACATGTTTGGATGTATACAGGATGTGAGGTTGCGAAACTCCGTGAATTTGATCAAGTTAGACATTAACACCGTCTGATACCGTCTCAGTGGTCTAACGGTTAGGGCGTTCGCGCACAATACCGAAGGTCCTGGGGTTTGAATCCTGCGGGGTGCAGGAGTCGCGGATACGCACTGCTGATGAGTCACATACCAGGACGAAACGGCCGTCCAGTGCTTCCAGGTTTTCTAATGGTGTTCTAACATTGATCGATTCATGGTTACAAACAAAACTTAGCAATCTTCGAAACAACCCCGCAATGCAATTAAAAGGCATACCGAAGAAGTACACTAACCTTATAAAAGCTCTGTACTCGAACACCACCGATCGAGTGAGAGCCTGTAGCGAACAATCATTGGAATTCTTTACTTCAAGTGCTCTCGGTCAGGACTGTCCACTCGCTCCATTCCTGTTTATCTTTGTGGTAGATATGCTTTTAGAGTAACATTATCATCGTCTGACTTTTCAGGAGCGGACCTTTTACTAAGAGACACACTTGCTGGCCTAGAATATCCTGATGACATAGTTTTATTTGGTGCAGATGCTCAATCAATCAAATCAATAGCAACGTAGAACTTCGTACGTACGTATATCAGTCCAGGTTGCCATACCACATTAGCACAAAGATGTAATTGTCAATTCAAATCCAATAGTAGTAGAGGTAGTAAAGGTATTAGCAGTAATCGGAGAGATTAGGGTTTGAAGATATTATTCAAGTAGGATCTAGTAAAATAAAATTAGAAGTAAAACGTAATAAAAGACTAAGAAGGTTAGGATTTGAGAGAACACAAAGAATAAATGCACCTGCGCCATTGCAAATGGTTTTGAGCCATGTAATTCAGGGTCTCTAACCATCGATTAATATCATCCCGCGGACCCCAACCAGGTAGTCAACACATACCGACATGACTCAGTCCACTTTTCAGTGACCTCATGGATTTGTGTCGTGTTTCAGACTGGCCGCCCCTAGCTTCCTTCCAACCTATTTCTACACCGCAAAATATAGCTCGACGAGGCAGTCAGTCGTTAGGCATACGCAACACATGTACCAACCACCTCAAATGATAAATTCCCAATATTTCATCTATTGATCTGCCGTCCCTACCCAATACTCGTTTCCTAACGACAGCATTGCTTACTCGGTTGTCACACAATACACGAGAAATGCTTCGAAGACACCTATGATCGAAAACCAGTAACCTACGATCATCTTCTACTCTCATAAGCCAGGTTTCACAGCCATAAAGTTGAGGTGGTTGCGACATGTGTTACGAATGCCTAACCATCGACTGCCTCGACGGGCCATGTGTTGTGGTGTAGGAGTAGGTTGGAAGAAAGCTAGGGGCGACCAAACAAAAACACGGCACAAATCCATGAAGTCACTGACAATTGGACTGAGTCATGTTGCTAGATATAGACTACCTGGTTGGGGTCCGCGAGACGAAAGTCAGCAATGGTTAGGAACCTTGGCTCAAAACCGTTCGCAATGGCGCAAGTGCCTCCATTCGTTGTGTTCTCCCAAATTCTAATCTTCCGGATTCGTCAGCACCTCTACCTTTGTCTTTCTAACCTTATCTCACTGAATTATACTTCTTGAATAATATCTTCAAACCCTAGTCTTCCCCATTACCAATAATACCTCTACTATCTTTATCACTATGGGATTTGATTTGACATTCGCATCTCTGTACTAATGTGGTATGGCAACATGAACTTATGCACATTCGTACGAAGTACTACGTTGCAACTGACTGTCATAAAGTAGGACAGAGCGAAGTGATGCGCAGTACTCTCGTCCTTTAGTCAGCAAACGGATATCTCGCCTTCGTCATAAGTAACGCAGGTTGGCAAAAGCCAGTCGAGCCTTCTGTCTCCGTGCTGAGATTTCGTCACCAGGCCATCAGCACTGAGACTCTCAAGATAAGTGAAGCGTTCTACACACTCGACTACTTCACTCCCTATCACTAAGTTCGGGCGCCGATGCAAAATTTTGCATTTCGAGGGAGAAAACCGCATCCCGAACATGCTTGCATTGTTGTTCAAGGTGGTCAGGAGACTCTGCATTTTGTCAAGGTCTTCATCGAATAGAACTGTGTCGTCGGCATATCCTAAGTCACTGAGGGAGCCCCCTAGTAGAAGGTCGACTCCTGAAAAATCAGACGAAGATTATGTTTTATCTAGGAGCATGTCTATGACAAGATTGAACAAGGATGGGGTGAGTGGACATCCCTGACGGACACCACATGACGTAAAGAATTCCGGTGACAGTTCGCCATAAGCTCTCACTCGACCAGTGGTGTTCGAGTAGAGAGCTTGTATGAGGTTAATGTACTTCTTTGGTACACCTTTAAATGACAGACACTGCCACAAAACCTCACGACCCACAGTCAAATGCCGCCTTAAGGTCCAGGAAGACAACTATTGTGGGACGCCTAAGTGTGTGCCTGTGTCCCAGGACCTGCCGTAGTGTGAAAATTTGGTCTATGTAGCCACCTCCAGGTCGAAAACCAACCTGTCTTTCTCTAGTCTGCTCTTCACGAAGATGCTGACAAGATACAGTCTTCTGACCACCTTAAGCAACAATTAGAGATATCTTCGAAGCATTGCACGCACAATCCGGGACAATCGAGTAAGCAATGCCATAGTTAAGAAACGAGTACTAAGTAGGGATGGCATTTCAATAGATGAAGTAGTGAAACTTCATCAGTTGAGGTGGTTGGGTTATGTGTTACAGTATGCCCAAACACCGACTTCTTCGACGAGCTGTTTTGTGAAATAGTAGTAGGATGGGAGAAAGCTAGGGGCGACCAAACAAAAACATGGCACAAACCCATGAAGTCACTGACAAGTGGACTGAGTCATGTTGCCGGACGTAGACTACCTGGTTAGGGTAAGCGAGACGAAATCCACCAATGGTTAGAGACCTTCAACGACATGGCTCAGAATCGTTCGCAGTGGCGCTGGTGCATTCATTCATTGTGTTCTCTCAAATCCTAACCTTCTGAATTCCTTATCATCTCTTTGTTAAGTTATCTCACTTAATTATACTTCTCGAATCAGGTCTTCGAACCCTTATTTCCTTTATTACTGCTAATACTTCTGCTATCTCTACCACTATAGCATCTGAGCCGACAGTTGCGGCTATGCTGATGCGGTATGTCAACCTAAACTTATATATATTCATTTACAAAGTTCTACTTTGTAACTGACTGGCTGATACTGTGGCTACCTTCACCACTACGGGATTTAAAAGGACACTTGCATTCCTGTGCTAATGAAACATAGCAACTTGGAACGGTGTACGAAGTCCTACGTTGTTGCTGACTGACTCACCAATAAGATGCTTAATTCCAGGCTACACAAGTCCCGCATTGTGAAATGGTAGAAGTCGATAATTTGGATCCCTTTATTACCGGTTACTATGCACTATACGCACACCCCACCAAGTAAATCTGACCACAACGTTTCGCCTGACTGACGTTTATCAAATTTGCTGCTGAAACGCCAAATTTAGTCAGCAGACCGCCTACGTGATGGTTCAAAACCCGATATCATGAAAGTCACACAGCACATTTCAGAATCCAAGTATTCGTTTTATGAGCATCACTGCACACACGTAGTACGTAGACAACATGAAGATTACTTGTTTGGAGGAACTTACCTAAACACGAACATTCTACTGAAGAGAACGAAAATAATGGGAGCTTAAAGTATATTTACAGTATGTACAAGATATGGAAAAGATTTACTGCATTTTGCCACTGTTATTTAGCACTGTGAATTTAGTCATCGGCTTACCACCTATGCCACACGTTCCAACACCAACACGACCGTCCAAGGCTTCAGGAGAGGCGAATATACTCTTTTTTGTTTTTCCCGTCTTAATCATTTTCTTACTAAAGTTAAGCCATCGGTTCTTCTCCTTCTCGCAAAACGATTCGATCTCAACTTCTCTTTGAAGAAGACGTTGCTTTTTAATTTTCTTCTTCTCGATGGCACGAGTTTTGGTGTCATGTCTGCAAATACAATGTAGAGAATTAGGAACTTACTTCTTCTTTTTCACAACAGGAGTAACTGTGGTGATTGGTTTCAAATGGCACAGCTAAAAAGGAAACGAGCTTGCGATGAACGTTATGTATAGAGGTTGGGTTATGTACATTAATACAAGCATCTCAGGTTTTCTTAAACTAAAATATTTACTCACGATTAATTATTCCAGGACTCGTTGATTATTGCCACCCCAAGAATCAAGCGAACGAATTCAAAGTACCATACGTCTTGTGCTTGAATGTATACAAAAATTTAACGGCAGCCGCAAGCGGTAAAACAGCAAGTAAAACCAATCTTTTAACAGGTATCTTTATAACTAAAACGAAGAGACTTATTTATGAATTTAACTTTTATCAAGTTCAAATTATTAGAAATCGCCGAGACCAAAAAATATAACTTCCTTCTCTAGTGTCACGCTGATTCAGCGCCTAAATAATATGAAACTATTCGCTAATACTGAGACTTGTTCTTACGAGTTAGATCCAGGTTCTTCATAGGGAGCATGAAGAACTATAGACTAATCAAATCAATGAGCTGATAACTATATGGCTGCTATGAATTTCGACCATGAAGTAAATAAGGCCAATGAGGTTAGTGTAAGAGCTATCTTAGTAGGCCTATCATACATAAATGCAATAGTGATAAAAGGAAATAGCAAGTACACACCTGGCATACGTCCGTTGTATCGTACATATCGAAGTTTACGACGCAGCTAACATCCCCAAGAAATTCAAGTATCGTAGCTCGATAGTAACTATTAAATAACACAGGAACTACAAACAACCTACAGTTTGTCACGGGAACACATAGCCATGCACTGGTCGCCAACATTCCACAATACTTCTGGAGTATCAGACGTCCTGCCCAATAACTCAAGCGATAGTTTAATGACTTCCTCGAGATCCCGTCTCAGCTGTAGAAGCTCCACATTTTCTGGGTCCAGCTCGAGAGCTGCTTCGACCTAAACAGAGAGAAATGTAACGCACTTAAATTAAACCTGTTGAAGCTGCAACTTGTGGTTTAATAGATCTAACTGTGGGTCCTCAGACATCTCTGGAAAATAGGTCCGTAAATGGCGCTGTGACAGCTGTCCAACTGTTAAAACTAAGTATGCACTAAAACGCAACGTTCAAACGATGTTGAATCACTCAACCAAGTTTAAGCTTCATAGGTCTAATGAAAGTTTCTGTTTCGTTAGGGTTAAATAGCTTTCAATTGAAAAGTTGTTTTACGTCCCGACCGCTTATGTCTAAGTGAGGACCTTCAGGAGAACGGAGTCTTTGAGGAATTTTCTTAGTTATAACTACACCATGACAGCTGCTGCATTGCATCATGTTAACTATTCTTTTATTAACTTTTTGACAAGCGTCAATATTTCCGTTCTGTTATCAGCTATTCGCCGTAAATTGTCGTTCATAAAGTTTCCGCGTTTGACTAAATACCGCTGTCTGATTTGAATCTTAAAGCTGTCTACCCACCTGGTCGAGCGATACTAATAAAATTGACTGTCACATACATCATGACACTTCTTACTTTTATTCATTATAGAGTTATGAGGATTGTTGTTTTTCATTGATTCATGACTTCTTAATATGTCTATGATCCTTTAGTAACACGTGAGGCCGTGTGTAACGAAAACTTCTCGACCACTAGATCTGCGGGAGAACATCGTGGTACCTTTCAAAATGACTGAAGTTGCAGTAGGAACTAAGTCTTGCTGCAGATATTCATACTCTGTACAACTTTCATGCTTGATGCTGAAAATTTTTTATCTAGTCAGCAGTTTCATAAGTGTATACGACTTACATCAGAAGCTTAAGATATTTCCCGGCTAAATCTTATTGCTTAGTATTCTTGACACAAAACACTGGAGAAGTAACCCAAATCAAAACACGGTTGAACAGGAAGGATTGTATTCCAAAATAGCAAGGAAAAAGAAGCTGGAGGTGATGGTGAAAGCCAAGGCAAAGAGGGCGAAGGAGGCGAAGATAAATACAATGCTGGTCTATTTATAGCCTTTACATGAGAAAGCTTCTGGGAGAAAATTCACGTGATCGACTGGACTGGATTTGGCCAATCAGCATGCAGCTAATAATACGAGAATTTTCTATCCTGTTCTCCAAGCTTCGATCAGGCGCTGATTGGATAGGAATTCAGCCAATCAGCGCGTAGCAACGTAGTCGTGCTTTAATTCCATTTATGTCCCACTAACACCTCCTCTTTGAGAAGATTCGTAGGATCTGGTGCTAGGGTCCAACTGCAACCGAGAAACTGGCTTGTACTTTCGATTAGTCCATCTTCTCGGCAATAAGGAAGTTGTGTCACTCTTTGCTTGCACAGAAACTGACTTGTGTGTTCCAGGCGTTTTGATTTCGAAGGTGTCCAGCAGAACGTCGAGGGCTATTCGATGCCGAGTCCCGTTGCTGGCTATCGAAGTTCCTTTCAGTTGGTTAGCATGACGTACCCAAACTTCTGAGCCAACTGACACCTCATAAGTCACATTCCTTTTCTTTGTTAAAATCCGACCAGCTGTCCATGTAGGATGTTTTCCACGATAGTCCCTAGCAAGTACTTTCTGGCCCACTGTGAACGATCGTCTTTTTGCCCCATGGTGTCGATTGAACTGCTTCTCCATCGACAGGTTTCGCTGAGGCCCAAGAGCGGGTGTAGGACGGATGACATCAAAATGTGTTCGTAATTTTCTACCAAGTAGAGCTTCCGCAGGTGAGACTCCGTCAGTCGTCTGAGGGTTCGGTGTAGGGTGATAAATAAGCAGGAACCTCTCTAATATCTCTTCGGTGGTCCCCTCCCCTTTGGATTTTTTTAAAGCATTTTTAAATGTGCTCACAAAGCGTTCTACTTGACCATTTGACTGCGGATGGAATGGAGGTGTTTGGACGTGATAGATTCCGTTCTGCCGGCAAAATTGCGAGAAGACTGCGGACGTAAACTGTGTCCCGTTGTCAGTAACTATCAATTCCGGGACTCCGAAACGACTGAATAGATTACGTAATTTACTGACTGTACAGCTTGCAGTTGGGTGTTTCATCAAGAAACTTTCTGGCCACTTACTGTATGCATCAACTACCAGAAGGTAAGTTTGTCCATGAAGTGGGCCAGCAAAGTCCAAATGTATACGCTGCCACAATGACTGTGGTATTGGCCATGATTGCAACTCTGCTTTGCGCGGTGCTTTTGCTGCTAATGCACATTTGGTACACGAACGGGATAGCTGCTCTAGCTGGGTGTCTAAGTGCGGCCAGTATACATAACTTCGTGCTAGTGCTTTAATGCGATTTATTCCAGGATGTCCCACGTGCAACTGGTTTAGCACTGCTGGTTGTAGCTTCGCTGGAATTATGACTCGTTCGGCAAACAGCAGGCAGTCGTCGATGATTGAAAGAGAGAGTCTACGCTGGTAAAACTGTTGAAGCTCTGAAGAGTTGATCTTCGAAGGCCAACCTTCCAGGTGAAACTTTCTAACTTCTTGTAGAAGTGGGTCTCGAAGAGTTTCTTCTCTGACTTCCTCTGACGACACTCGAGTGTTTCGAATGGCATCTGCTACTATACCCCTTATTTCTGGGTCTACTGCTGTTGAGGCAATGATTATGTCCTCTGGTTCAGTTTGCTGAACTCCAATTAATCGAGAGAGAGCGTCCGCTTGACCGATAGTATTTGTCGACTGATACTTGATATTGAAATCATAACTCAGGAGCATCGTTGCCCAGCGCTGTAATCTATTAGCCGTATAGACAGGGATTCCTTTCTTAGAACCAAAGATTGCAATCAAAGGTTTGTGATCTGTCAGTAGCGTAAACTTACGACCATAGAGCATTTTATGAAATCTTTTGACAGCGAAAATAATTGCAAGAGCTTCTTTCTCAATTTGACTGTAATTTCGCTCGGCTGGGGTGAGAGATCTGGCAGCATGGGCAATTGTTTTCTCTGATTTATCCGGAAACACATGAGATATTACTGCTCCAACTCCATAACTAGAGGCGTCAGATGCAACAACAATTCCCAAGCTGGGATCGAAGTGTGTCAAAAGAAGCTTTGAGCTGAGCATCGACTTGACTTTATCGAAAGATGCTTGACATTCTGCTGACCACTGCCAAGGTTTATCTTTTGATAGTAATTCATTCAAGGGACCTCTCGCTCGATGCATTTCAGGCAGGAATGCGCTGTAATGACTGATTAACCCCAAGAAAGATCTTAATGAAGAGACATCAGTCGGTGCAGGCATCTTCTGAATGGCTTCGATGTTGGCTGGGTCTGGTCGGCGACCGTCCTTATGTAAGATGAAACCAAGGTATTTGATCGAATGCATGAAGAAGATACATTTTTCTTCACGTAGTTGGAAACCATACTCCAACACTCGGTTAAGGACTTGATTTAGTCGATCTGACCGTTCACTGTCACTTAAACCCATAACTATGATATCATTTAGATAAGCTGCTGTCCCAGGTATACCTGTTAGCATCGTATCCATTATTTGCTGAAAGATAGCCGGTGCGATGTTGATGCCAAATGGTAGACGAGTGTATTGAAATAGCCATCGATGGGTGTTAATAGTCAGGAGCTCTCTACTATCTTCATCTACTTCTACTTGTAGATAGGCATCGGAGAAGTCTATTTTCGCGAAACATGTACCACCAATAAGCTTTGCAAACAGATCTTCAGGAACTGGTAACGGATACTGATACACATCCAATGCAGCATTTAAACCAGTTGAGAAATCGGCACAAATGCGTATAGTTCCATTAGCTTTCTTAATCACTACGATCGGTGCGGCCCATGAAGAGTAGTTGACTGGTTGAATTACCCCAGCCTGTTGTAAGCGATTAAGTTCCTGATCGACTAGCTCAAGAGTGGCATATGGTACAGGACGTCTCGGACGAAAAATAGGTTTCGCATCTGATTTCAATGGTAAGTGAGCTTTCATCTTGGTACAGAGGCCAAGGTTATTCTGAAAAACAGAGGCAAACTTTTCCTTCAGTTTTTCACGTAATCTTTCACCTGTCTTCTTTGCAAGTACCGGGGTGTTCAATGATGAAAACGATATGTTGCAGACACTGTTAATGGGCACATCCATTATTCCCAGTTTTTCTAGCATATCTAGACCAAGAAGATCAAGGTTTGGCCGTTCTGTCAGATAGCATATTCCTGTACATCTTTTTCCGTTGAAGGAAAATTCACACTGCATCTCACCAACCAGTTTTAACACACCACCTGAAGCGCTTTTAGCTGTTTTTTTAGATGGCTTCATTGGCGATTTTCCCAGCAAGTTATACGTTTCTCTAGACATTAAGGTGATATCAGATGCCGTGTCGATTTGAAAACGAGCTGATGCACCGTTCATCTGTATAGTGACATACTTTCTCCGAACGTCATAGTCTGTTTGAAAAGCAGCTACGAGAGAAAGTGATTTAGACTCGGCTGATTTCACCACATGTCGAGTACGTTTGTGCTTCTTCTTGGGCTGAGACGTACGAAGTGGTTGGCAAATGCCTTCTTTATGTCCACGTTTATGGCACATCTGACATTTATGTTTTTTAAATGGACAAAATCGTACGTAGTGCCAATCACCACATAACCAACATGCCGTCGTTGGTTTGTTACGAGATGCTATCGGCTTCTGGGCTTTTAACCTAGTAATAGCATTGACACTACTGCTGGTTAAATTGGGATTTACCTGTTCAATCAACATGTTGTCGTGCCTGATACTTTGTAAGCGTTTACACTCATCTATCAACGTCTTGAGTGTAACGTTCGGGTCTTGGTCCATTCGAATCAAAAGTCTAGTTCTGATTTCAGCATCTTGCGGTGACTGAAGAGCTTTGATGAATATTAAGCATTTTAATTGGTCTTCCGTCAACGAGCGCAGCTTGAACCGTTCACATTCTCTGTTGACGACGTGTGCAAGAACCGCATATTCATCATCTTCGTGTTTCACCAGATTTAGACTGTGATATCTAATGCTAAACTATGATGATGATTCGCCGAAAATATCTGACAGCTGAGTTACTGTCTCCTCGAAGCTGAGCTCTCGAGGTAACTTCGGTAATATGTGGTCAGCGTAACGTTCATACTCATTACTTCCCAACTTACGCAGCAACAATCGAGTCTTTCATGCATCATC